ATATTTGCAATACAAAGAATTTCTCTTATTTCTTTTCCAACACTAAGTTCAGTGAAATCATTATTATTTTCTTCTTTAAATTTTATTGTATTTTTATTTACCATTATTTGTTTATTGTAAGGTAATGATATAAATACAATATTACAATATCTTATATCAAAGAAACTATTTTCTTTTTCATATTGTTTTTGAATTTTATATCTATAATACTTTCTACTACACCATCCAATACTTATTAAAGTTATAATAATCACTAAGAGAATCACCATTATGACTAATATAATTACCCACCATACAGGTGATCTTTGACAATACGTCCCATCATCGCTGGGTTGATACCAGAAACTACATTGTGAACAAATACTATTTTCAACTGAAATACAATGATTCACTTGTGATAAAGGAATACATTGAAAATTTTTTAATATTCCATCAGTACAAGAAATGCATTGATAAGAATTACATTCAGAGCACCCTTCATAAACATGAGAACAATGAATGCATTCTTTATTTCTTAAAGTATAACCAATATTACATTCTTCACATCCAGTAGAAGTCTTTGATTTACAATTCTTTAATAACTCATAAGAAAGACAAGACCCATTCATCGAAAGATAATAATTTTCATTACACTCTAAACACTGTAAATTTGTTTGACATAATGAACAGTTATTTTCACATTTTCTACATAATGAAGACGACCTGAAATATCCTTTCATACATACAGCACATCCTTCATTATTAGAAAATAAAAATTGACAATTTTGTATAACCAAAGAAGACAAAGCACATGACCCATTAATAGCGGTGTATCCATTCTCACATTTAAAACAATACTCTGAATTTAAACAATCTAAACAATGTTCAGGACATGTCTTACATTCATAGTTTGAGACATACATTTTATTAGTACATTTTACACAAAAACCATGTACATATTGTTCACAATTTGTGACATTTCCTTTGTTGATACACTGACCCAAAGAATTTAAAATATAACCAGAAATACATTCAACACATTTACTGTTAGTACAATACTTGCAATTTTTATCACAATAAATACAATCAGTTCCATTAAAATATTTTGCTTTATCATTACAGGAAATAAAATGATTATTAGTTGATATACAATCAACATATGAACATGATTTATCAGTTGTAATAATTTCACTAGAATTAAAACAACTATAACATTCTTGAGGAGAACACATTGAACATCCATGAAATTTGGAAGAACATAAAATACATCTACCATTCTCTAAAAAGTATCCATTAGAACACGAAATAATTGATTCTACTGAAACAATATTTTCATTATTTGTTTTCTTAATACAAACACCATTATTATTAATATAATTATCCTCACAAATGATACACTTCTTTAATGTACATTGGATACAATGCTCTTCACAATGTAGACATTGTGTTCCATCAGAATAAAAACCTTCAGGACATAACATAACTTTGTTAGATATAACTTTTAACATTTCATTTTTCTGACACCCTCCATAGCTGTCAATTTGATAATAATCTTCACATAATATACATTTATTATTTATACACCTACGACAATTAATAGGACATAAAGAACATGTTTCATTAATAAATTCATGATGTTCACTGCATTCATGACAAGTATATTTACTTTTCTTTGTACAATATGGGATATCAATTCCCTCATAATTAACACAGTTTCCATTAAGAATGATTCCATCACAGACCAAACATGATACTTTATCATTCATTATATAATATGAAGAACAATATGATACCATTGTTTGGGTTGTATAAACTATTTCATTTCCTAGCTTAAATGGTTGATCAGAAGAAATAACACTATCAAAAGAGTTTTTAAAAAGAATATTTGTATTATTTATTTGTGAAGGAAAGTAAACAAAGGAATGATTTGCAGTAATTCTAAGTGAAAAATCAAAAATATTTGTTTCAATAACCAAATGACTATCGTTAATATGTACAATCCCTTCAAAAAAATGATCAATATCGAAAAAACTTATTGAAGGTAATAATTGAAGAATACAATTTGAAGAATAACATGGACAATATACCTCTTTATAACTTCCATTTGATAATGACCCAGAAATTAAAGTGCAATAAACTTTATCATCCAAATGTCTTACTGGGCATATACGAATAAGTTTATTAGAAGATAAAGAAATCATTTTATAAGTCAAGAATGAAGAATTTATCAATTTAAATGGCGTTGAAGATACAGCAAAGTTAATACATGTTTGTACTGAGTACATTGCTGGAAAGAATAAAGAACTTTGCTCATTTAATGAAATGACACTTTCTGATTTAATATTGAAAAAATCATTTTCACTAATGAATTGTTCTATTCCAAATTTTCCATTTACCTTAATTCTAGTATGAGAATCTACTTGTAATATCTCACAAAACAAAGAACCATTTATCAAAATATTATAACCTTTAAATGAACAGAATTTAAATGAAAGAGTTTTATCATTTGTGTTAAAATAAGTATTTTGTTCTATTGTAACATTATTCCAATACTCATTTGACTGAATTTCATATGAACTGAAATCAATTTTTAAATTTAAATTATTATTAGGATATAGTTTATAATTAAAACAATCAATAAATTGTTTTAGTGTTGAATCCAAATAATTTGATCCATCAAAAATACATTGACACATAAAAAATGCATCTTGTGGGACAAATCTATTCCCACAAGTCTTTACATTATTAAGAAAAAAATGTGAGTCAAAATGATTAATTAGTCTTGTGAATAAAATTATTTCTTGTGATTGAATAGATGAGATATCTATTTCATTATTTATTTGAATATCATTGAATATACAATGTGAAGGTGAAGTCACTGTTAAAGAAGAAACAATAACATTACCATTAAATGTAATTTCATTTGAAGAAGATAAGACAAGATTTTTAATAGTTAATTCGCCTATAGAATTTAGATCAATAACCTTAGTTTTTGTTTCAAAATTAATTGAATTCCAATACTTTAAATCTTCTAATAGAATAGTTTCAAAATTAGGAAGATTTAAATCATACATTGAAGAATTTCTAATACAGTCAGGATAATTCCAATTTGATAAAACTGAAATATTTGGCATTGAAGTTGTTAATGAACATGTACAATCAGATAATGGTTTAATTGAATCATAAATAACATACCTACCATTTCCATCTCTATTACAAACATTGAAAATAGAATAGTGTGTTGTTATTACTGATTCAATATTGTGACCAGTGAATAAATACTTTGGAAGATTACTTTGAGAAGAATAACTAAAATCAAATAGTAATGTTTGAAATGAGTCTCCATCAATCATAATGTATCTTGTAGTAGAATCTGTTTCAATAATAAAATAAAATTTTTGGTTTATGTCAGAATAGATATTAATACTAGAATTATAAATATGAATATTTGGTTTTGATGAATCAGCAACTTTTGTTCTACATCCATCTACACCAAAACAACCAAATGTTAATACAAAGTTATCTGGAATAACTTTCATAAATAAAAATAACAATCCTTCAGAATGTTTCGTTCTTAAACCGAATGATTTCATTGTTGATGTTGACTCTTCAAAGTGAAGATATTTTGGAGACTTCCCAGTAGTATCGAAGTCTTGAAAAATAGTATTCTCTAAAGTACAACAACCATTTATAAAATAGAATACATCACTGTTTTTAGCACCAACTTTTTTATATTCTTGAGTCCATCCTTTTCGTTCAATAGTTTTTGAAAAATAACCAATAACACCATTATTCTCAGTCCATTCATTTGATCTTGCATAAAAAACATTAACAAATACGAAAAGTACAACACCAACGAACATCCAATTAAGATAAGTAGTTTTTAATCTTAAATATGACAAAACAGCCACTTCCTATTGAATGTCGTTTGCCAAAAACTGTTTGTCTAAAAATAAAATAGAACCAAGAGTTACAACAAAAAAAATTATTGAATCCATTAATGATTTATTATTCACAAACAAAAAAAGGTATCAGATAATCTTTTTAATATCTTTCAAAAGTACGTTAATAGGCATAATAGGCAAAAAAAATTCTTGAAAAAAGTTTTGTTGCAAAATAACATAAATATAATAAAAATGTTATTTATCACAAAATAAAAAAAATAAAAATATTATAAAAAAAACTAAAAAACAAAGAACATAGAGATGAGTAATAAGGTAGCTGTGATTAATTTGAAACCAGAGGAATTCAAAGAAATTGTTCATACATTAAAACATCACATAACCAATGGGAGATTAAACAGAAAAGAAAAGGTTGAATATGAGCCAATAAATGAACAAGAGACACAAAAAATTACAATTATACATAAATATGGATCTGTAGATATTGAATTAGTTCCACTTCAAAGTATAGAAGAAGGGATAGAAAATGAATGGGGAGGATATATATGCGAAGAAAATACTCCAAATTATCAAAAAATAACTGAATACAATGCTGGAGAATTAAATATGATTATTGGAAATGGTAAACTACTTGATTGGTGTATTGATAATAATATTGAGTATGTGGATAGACAAGCAGTGGAAGATGAAAATAATGCAGAAGGAATAGACAGAATTGCTGAGGCTATTGCAAATAATCCATGGAACTTCTCTCAACAACCTCAGAACTATAATGAAGAAACGTTATTAAGACCACCACAACCATCAAATAGTTCAAAAGAAGAACAAGAACCAATTAAGAAAACAACTCAAAATAATGAAAAAGATTTTACATTAGAGACTGCATTAAATAAATTATTAGATTACAAACGAAGGGCTGCTCAAACAACTGATATGAATGAGAGAAGAAAATTAGCAGAAGAAGCAGCTCTATTAATGGCACAATTTATGGGAGATTCGAGTGAAGAAGATGATTAATTTTATTAATAAAGTATATCTTTAATTTCTTTGTTTAGCTTTAAAACAGAGACTCAATGAAGTGAAATTCATTGCAATTACAGTAAAATGAGAAAATAGTTTTCACCATAATCCTGCCTTTTGTTTTTCTGTTTGTTGTTTCCATTGTTTCCATGATTTAAACATATCAAAGGTAACATCGAATAATTCGATAAAATCTTCATCTGATAAATGAAACTAGAAGTGTTAATTTTTATTCTTAATTTGATTGTATTTTGTATTAAAAATAACAAACAACTAAATCGTCTTTGGCAATACCTTCTGGTTTATTTTCTAATTCTTTAAAAGAATAAACCTCGAGCCCAAGTGAATTAAGTGTTCTTTTACCATCTACTAATTGAACACCTTTTTCTCTTAACATATTCTTTGTTAAATCATTATTTCCACCATGTTTTGATACTTTTAATGTAATTTCAGCACATGAAGATCTACGATCTCTTTTTGAAGTATCCCCTTTACCATTATTAACAGAAATTGTTAATTTAGGTTTAAATGAAGAAGGACTATCAGTTCCACCTACAGAGTCTTTTCTTGAACACTCTGACTGTCTATCATTTTTATACTCTTCGATACATTTAATATTATCAGTTGGAATTTCAGAACATCTATTCTTTCTTTCAGTAGGAACTTTTAATAAAGAAGAGTTAAACGGTAGTTGGTCATTAGTCAATGCAATAGGTCTTTTCGAATAAACAGAAATCCTTCCTCCTTTGTCTTTTCTCCTTTTCATTAATTCTTCTTCTGGATCAATACTTCTATCAATATTACCAGAATGTAATTCTATTGTCCTATGAATTGCACAACTTTCTGTTAATGGGAAGTTAGGAATTGAAGCAGATTGTAACTTTTTGAGATCATTAACCATTCTAATTAATCCACCGTCAGGAACAAGTTTACTTCCTTGTAATTTTATTTTACTTTTAGACCTTATTCTAATTTTAATAGAATCTTTTTTTGAGTTACAAGGAAGAAGAGTAATTCTTGACAACGGAAAGACAAATCTAAGTAAATTTTCTTTATTTGCTATTGCAAGTAAATTTTGTGTTAGAATAGCTGATACTGGACATCCTTTTAATTTAAAATCAGTTATATATAATATCTCTTCGTTTGATATATCTCCAAATTTTCCTGGCGTAAATTTATCAAATAATTTTGGTTTAATTCTTTCACTATCTGCTTTAGTTTTAGTCTCATCTATTGTGGTAGTTACATTCTTAATAAGAGTAACCATTTCAACGAGATTTTTTGCATCTGGATGATCATTCCATGTATGTTTTTTTAATTCATTTAATAATAAAACGTACCTTGGAAGTCTTTGAATTGGCATAATTAAATATGATGACATATCTTTATCATTCCCTTTTTCTTTAATTAGTGCTTCTCTAACACATTCAATACATAAAATTTGTTCTACTCGTTCTATAGATTCAGAGTAATTAACAAGGTAAGGAGTGTAAACACTAAGTGCACCTTCAAGTTCTTTATAAACATTAATCCATGGTTTATTTGGTTTCATATCTTCAGTAGCTTTCTTCAAATCATTTAAAAAATTAGAGTTAAATTGATAAATTTCTTCTATATTATTAAAAATTACTTGAACACTATCTTTCTTTAATGCACCATTTTCAACAAAGTTTTGGATAATTGGTCTATATTTATCAATACCTTCTTTAAGATAATGAACATAATCATCTTCTGTTTTAATCATTTCTTGTGTAACTTTAATTCTAAATGCATTCTTTTTTTTTAATGAATTCATTTCATTTTTTGCAGAAAATCTTCTGAAATAAGCTTGTGCTTTAGCAATAGTACCTTCAAATACATTCACTATTGTGATAAATATATTTTATTAATTGTTTAACTAAAATATAGCAAACTATCAAATCCTTTTGTTGTTGACATAAGAAATTGTAATGTAGTTCGAAATACTGAAGCAGAAACTCGAATTTTACCTCCAATAACTGTTTTTTGAATATACTTTAATTGCTCTTTAATACTTTCAGCTTCCTGAGCTGAAGGAATATTTTTTTTAACTTCTTCAATAGGAATTTGTGGAAATGGTTCAATATTATAAATTTTAAAACATTCTGTAGCAAATAAAAATACACATTCAACTACTCTAACAATATTCTATTAAATGAATTAATTAATCTAATAAATAAAATATTAACAAACCCCTTTTACAAAATCATCATATGTTGCAATTCTTAGTAATGGAACATGCATTTCTTTACACACTTGAAGAAACATATTTAAATTTTCTAGTTGTTTATATGGGTGTTTAGAGTCATGAATAACTGGAATAAGATCATCATCAATAGTTTTTGCTAAATAACATAAAATTGTTCCTGATTTAAGTGAATTACATAAATCAGGATTTATAGGTACTTTAAGAATAGATTCCATCCATGATATTAACATCATTTTCTTCTGAATAAATTGAATGAATTGGTCATCACTTTCCATTTCCCAACTAAACTTAAAATTTTTTTTAGTTTCTTTTTTGGTTTTTCCAAAAAGTAGATTATTTTTTTACTTGAACTATAAAAATCCTATTTTTTATTTCAAATTAACATTCTCTTATTCTCTAATATTTTTTGTTCTTTCTCCTTCTCTTAAACTGTTAATATTTCTCAAGAAAATAACAAGATCTGTACTCTTTCCTTGACTATCTTTTATTATAAAATAAACATTTAATAAGTAAAACAAACCACTCACTTACCACTGACCATTAAAATCAAAGGAATCTTTTGTTCCTTTCCAAAATGAATCTCCACTTGTTTGTTGAATATTTGGTGATAAACTCTTTGATTTAGTAGTATTTAATGAAGCAAATATATCATCTTTCTTTTGAGAATTTGAATTAAATGAACTTTCACATTCAAAATCAAATAGTGTTTGACTTTTTGGTTGAGGTGAATGTGTGTTAGATGAATTATTAGTCATAACAATAGTTGTTTGTTTTGTTGAAGGTGTTCCAAAATCAAATAATGAAGCAGAAGATGATGGTTTAGGTGATTGAGAAACAGAGGTATTACTTGATTGATTAAATGAGAATAAATCTGTTGATGTAGTCATTGGAGTATATGACTTCTTTGGATATTCATCAAAGGAAAATAAATCTGTTGATTTGTTTAATGATGGTGAAATATTTGGAGTGTTATTGTTAACTGAATTAGTTGAATGACTGATTGATGAAGGTGTTGAACTTTCTCCAGATGTTTTTGGTTGAAGAACAGATGGTTTTTGTTTTAAAGATTCATCAGATTGTGTAGGAATGTCTTTAAAATTATCCCAGAATAATCCAGCAGAACTTGAAGTAGATATTTGTGGTTTAAAAGTTTCTTCCTTAGGTTGAACAGGATTTGGAGATAATGAAGGAGCATTAGAAACAGCAGGATCAGCTTGGTCCATTAAATTGGCATAAGGATTTGGTAAGTTAACTTCTTTAGCTATCATATCCATAAGTTGAAAAGTGTTAATACGTTCAAAAGGATCAACAACAAAGATCTTTTCAAAGAATTGAGTCACTTTCTTAGAATAGTAGTTATTTGGAATAGAGTATTTACAAAATTGAATTCTCATTGGAGATTCTTCAAATGGAGTATCAAAGTAACAAATTTTATATAATACACACCCTAATGCCCAGACATCAGCTTTTCTTCCAATTGGTTTATAATCATAAAGATTAATCATTTCTGGTGATCGATAAGCCAATGTAGTATATTTTTGAATATTCTCATCAATTATAGGACAATCCCCTTTAGTCCGATTATAAAATTTACTTTCTGGTACAACACTACCAAAATCAGTTAATAAGAACTTCTTATTTTTAAATAATACATTCTCTACTTTTAAATCTCTATGACACAATGGTGGATTTTGTGAGTGCATAAAAGCAACAGCATGACAAATTTGATAAAACATTCTTAAAACAGCTTCTTCTTTTATTGGATTTGGATATGTTCTTTCTAATACATTAATTGTAGAAATAGGACAATAATCCATCAATAGTACTACTTTTTTTTCTGGTTCACTGTACACAGCACTATCAAACAGTGGAACAATAAACTCATTTTTACATAACGCTTTATGCACATTTATTTCTTGTTGAATTCGCTTTAAATCATTTTGGTCACCATAATACATAACTTTCATTGCATATTCTCTATTGCTCATTTGAGAATGGACAAGATAAACTTGTGAAAATCCTCCTTGTCCTAGTTTTCTATCTACAAGGACTT